CCTTCATTGCCTTGTCATAATTGGTTTCTTTCTTTAATCGACAGCCTTTTACTTGTTTACCGTTCTTCATGGCAAACGTAGGCGAGTAAAACAGAAGTATGTTAAATTGGCAGTGAAACACTTTATAATCGGAGCGCACTAAGACCGCGAATGCTTCTTTCAATGAAGTACGTGTAATTTGATGTTTTCAACTACCAATCATAAAGGGCGCTTCTGTTTATAATTAACGACTTGAGACGTCAGCAAAACAGTCTTTCTTTTGCATGCAAACTTAGTTAAGAAAAACTCTTTGTCCAAGAACGTTCCGTTTCAATACGTACCGCAACAAAGAACTGCTAATTAACGCCCACTGAGCTTTATGCTCTAAGGCACGTCAACTGTAATCACGACATAGCTAGTAAGATCTAGGATCTTTCTCTGCAGTCTGTAACACCGAATCACGAACGTACCCTTAAGACATAAACGTGAATTTTGCCCTCAGTCTATTTTAGCCTTATTGGTTGTTGGACAACACAGTTCAATTTCTTCAATATCCTCACCCAGCTGAATGAATAAGGAGGGGATTCACTCGTTTCGTATGGACGTAGGGCCTTTTCGTGTGAAAAAATTGTGGTTTCAAAAATATCTGGATTCGTGTGGAAGGGGCCTTCATTCGACTATTATACAAAGAAAAAATGTAATGAATTACCCTGAACATTTCCGGGTGGGTTTATGACGGTGTCCTAATGGCAACAATTTTACCACTTAGTAAGATTAATTATTCAGTACTAAGTTAAAAAAGCTCTTGAAAAATAGACAATCATGAATCTCGAGTAGTAATGAATTACCCGTTTGCTCGTTGTAGTGCCGGTCCATTAAGTAAAGTTACTGAAATTCGAAATGACTTTGCTTTATTGAAGTGGTGACAGTTACTTGTTTGTTGGTTCGATATATGTCAGTTCGGTTTGTAGTAATGAATGCTTCGTATTGGCTTAAATTCTCTGAAGAAAGAAGACTCTCCAAACCCGAAAACTCATGAAAAAGTGTATTCTTTCTTTGCCTTTTTCAGTAGTACTGCATTTGGCCGCGGTAAATTGCTTTTAATGGACTTTTCCAACTATAATGGAAAACCGCCTTTAAAACTCCGTCCACCTTTTCTTCCTCTTGTTATGCATGTATTGTTTCCACTTACGTATACCACAAGAAAGCGTGCAACACACGTTTCTTGGCGGTAAACGTTTTGTCTGATAAAATTGTTTCACTGATATTAAACTCTAGTCTCCTAGTTAATGAAATTCTGTTAACTCATTACAAACAAAGGTAGGTATTTAGAAACTACGCCACTTAAATAAGAAAAGTTAAAGTAACACAGCTCGTTGAACAAGCACCAGTGCCGAGAATTGTCTGAGTGGAAGTCGCATTTGATAATTCTAAATTCTTTAGGGTTAAGTAACGAAACGCTTCTAAGTAATTAACTGCTTCTTAATTATTCATTATTAATAACTATATCATAGTCCATAATAAGTCCATAATATAAAATGCACATCACGTCATATGAATACAGACGTGAATATGGAACATTGTACAACACCCATATGGCGAGATTTCGAGTGAAGCACGTACCAAAAGAAATAATCCCTGTAGTGAGAGCTACATATATTATTCATGAACTTAATCCCCAGAGATCTAAATGGGTTTTATATAAAGTTCGCTTGGTTCGTTGGACGTTGACCACGTTGGGTCAAGCTTCAATGACCCAGTAGCATTGATCAGACCCAAATTACTCGAGTTACAAATTCAGTCGGCAAACAGACAAAAAAAGAGCTGTTTTTTGCAAGATATTATTAGATAATTTCTTTTAAATGGAGTTGCCTTTTGCCCCGATAACAGATAAAATTTCAGTATATCAAAAATGTGCATCATAACTTGCACGATGGTATCTAAGCAAACTTTGGGGTGTGCGTGATTTACTGCATTTTTTCCAAAACCTCGTCACTCAAGCGGTATATTTTGTATCTTGCGGTTTTATTACTTAAAATTGCTTTAAGACTTAAAGCTCAGACGCTTTGTAACCAACACCTGTCTAAGCTATTCATAAGTAAACACTGATTGTGACTTTGACGTGCAAGAGAAAGCTCATTAGCTCCGAGGAATGGGATTAAAGTCTAAATACGGATTGTGGTAGTGCACTTTGACGCATCATTCGCATAATGGACGCCATGCACAAGCTATACGAGAAAGGGACCACCACTTTTGATTACGAGAAAGAGATGGAGCGAGCTCTTAGCACGATATTTCGCAACCTTCGAGGAATGGAAGAAATGAGATTTCGTGTTGCTTCAACAAGGAGTCAATCTAATCCTGATATACTTAGTAATGCGTGTTTGCAGTCAGAGCCAAATTGCATTGAATCGCAACAGAACTTTGCTGAAATCAGCCAAGAACAAGTTGAAAAAGAACAGACTGCAACCAGTAATATTCAAGTGAAGTTCAAACGGCGATTGCCTAATGTACCGCAAGTAGCAAAACATAGAGGTGATCTTAGCTGAGTAACGCCGAAGTTGGAAATCGTCTTAATTATCTGAGTTATGAAGTGGTCTTCAAAAAGGGGCAAATTTCACCGATAATCGGTCGAAGTAATGAAATCTATACCCTGTAGTCTTGGAGAACAAGACACAAGAGACGACGTTTATCGCCAAATGACTCAAGACTCTTCTTCAGGTGGTGTTTCTGATAATTTGCAACAGGTCATCCCGGTGGTTCTTATCATGGATTAGAAAAAGTTATCTCTTAGTTTTGAACCCGAAAAGTTGCGCAGCTGCCGATCCAAGACAGATAAAGTGATTTTTCTTTTCTTTCGTTAAGAAGCCATAGTCATAAATATAAGCCGAAGACCATGGCAAATCTTGGTACGTGAAAGAATTTTGGTCGGCAGACAGTCACAAAATATTTAAAAAATTGCCCAGTAGTTACGATGATTAATTAACCCGCACAAGAGTGTAAGGATGTTTGCGGTCAATCAACGTTTAATGAAAAAACATTGGCTAAGTCAACACCCAATGAGTTGTATAAACTGTATAATTATTGTAAATAATGTACGTAATAAATTTTATGTCAAACCAACATTAACAGGAAACATTTTCTGTGGGTTACTTTACGTAACATAGCTTCTGTCTTTTTGTTCGGTTATCTTTCTTTTGACTGTTCTTCAGTACTGATCGATATCTTAGTTATCTAAAGCATTCAACGATCTGCGGACGGACACAAGACTTAATTGAGTACTAAGTAAATGCGGAAACGAAACCACTCTAGTGTTTACATGAAATGCGACAGCTGACAAGGACATTTTGACGCACGTTGCTATCGGTCTATTGTAAATTGAAAGAATGATCATTTTTCATAAAGATATCAGTTCTTAAACATTTGATTGTAAGTAATCATGCCAGCAAAAAATGAAAAGAAGTTAATCAGTCGAATTTTATTGGCAAACACTGTACAACACACCGGGGGTCACGTATTAGACTTTTAAGTCTAATAATATAAGTTGCCTCAAGCAACGTGCTGAGAGTTTCTGAATGAAAACTATGAATGGTGTGACCTCTTTAGTACGTTTAGATTGGAAGCGAGCAGGCTCCTTATTGGGGAAAAAGGGCGAATAGCGGGACAAGTGCGCAAATAGCCTGCTACAATCTTGGACAAAATAAAATGGAACAGTAAACTCCGCTTCCCCCCAAATCAAGGATGAAGCCGCGCGAAGGCCAAAAACGCGCCATTTTCCCATCCTTGATTTGGGGGGGGCCGGGGAGGGGGGTTCTAGGTTTTCCATTTATTTTGTCCAAGATTGTAGCTAGCAAGCTCTCCAATAGCCCACCTTCGATGTATTAAAAATCTAACATGACTCCGAGGCTTTGGGGTCAAAATTGCAAATTTTTCACGACTCCATTGTCTCGCAATTCCCAGAAGAGACTTGAGAACCAAACCAAATATAAAAAAAAATGACCAGAAAGTCTGGGAGTCATGTTAGAATCTTAATGTAGAACGTGGGCTATTATGGCGAACTAAGCGAGTCGCGCTCCACGCACTTGCTTGTCCTTTCGCGTGTTGCTCTCGCGTGATTTCTCGCGACTCCCCCAAATGGAAAGCTTCTTCGCAGGCTAGCGCGTAAAGAAAACGGCGAACAGAGCGGGGGATTACATTGAGAAAGGAAAGGCTCGCTTCACTCGCCGACGTTTTGCGTTTTGCTTACCAAGGAGCCTGGTCTCAGGCCACAGACGTTTGTTTTTTTCTGTTTAAACCCTGTACGACACTGATGAAATAACTGAGGGATTTTCTTCGAATTTTATACAGTCAAACTCGTAGCGACACCCCCGTGGAATGTACAAATGGCTACTCAAAAGCGATTGGGTGACTGTTCTGTTTACAGTGAGTTACTAAGAATGGGGCAACGCTGTCAACTGGGAGGTACAGGACTCACAGCCTACTCAGGATTTTCAATGCGTAAGCGCAAAGGAAATAACACTGCAAGTGTAACAGCTGTTCCGCCAACTTTTTAGGTTCATTGGCATAAATTAGGTTATGTCAGCTAGGTGCCCCTTAAGGCTAAACGAGTGTAAATTAAAGCACTTCTTTAACTGTCAGCTCCACACAACACTTGTGGGAGTGTGAAGCTGGGAACCGAACGGCAACTCTCCCACGGCATGTGCTGGAAAGTTAAGAATTCCCTGTGACTGGCCGCTTATAGAGCTTGCAGCGTAATATTAAATTGGGCTAAATGGGTTATCAAGGCAGTCACACCGCTTTCCCCATTTTTGCACTGTATTCGTAAAATATTATCTTTTAAAAGTACCGTGAAAATATTGATTTAAACCTATCCTGGTTCTTTTCTAAAGGCAAGAAGGCTAATCCCGTACGTAAGGCGCGTGTTGAGCAAAATCTTGAACGAGGTAGACTGGTTACCAGTAGTCCTTATCAGTGATTGGTGAATCTTGATCACATGACTGTTAACCCTGCCATATTTCAAAATGGCGGACGGAGGAGAAAAACCGAGCAGTGTAAATTCGGAATTACTTGACTCGAAGATCTCAAGTACTTTATATGAGGTAATCAAAAAAACAGCATTTATCGATTTTTCCAGGTTAAGACGTGCTAATTTCACTTTGTTTCTCCAGATAAGAGAATTAGAAGTTGTCAACCACGAGCTCGGATGCCTACATGCAAAAAGTGTAAGACTACTTAAAATAGTATAGCATCATCGGCTTACCCTAGGGGTAGGACCCTGGGTCACACAGGGAGATGGTAAAATGGGTAGAGCAAAGTCAAGAATCTTCCTCAGGGGTTGGGGAAGCAACAAGAATCACTTTGGTCACGTGCTTCTCGAAGAATGTTCCCCTAATGTCTACACCTTGGACATACCATTTTTTTACACCCTCCTGCCTCCCTCCCTCCCTCCTGAAGATGGCTGGAATTCGGGGGGCGCCCTTTGAAGAATGAAATCCGAAGGGTGAATCTTCTGTCAGGGTAAAGGTAAAAACCTGGGTAAAGGTGAGCGGCTGAGGGCTCAAAATCCTGACCCTGTTTAGGACAAAAAACAAAATGAAAACCGTCTTGTTTGAAGTCATTTATTGGCTCCAATTGCAATTAATTTAATTTAATTTAATTTAATTTAATTTATTCCATTTTTACCGCAAAAAAGAAAACAGCTAAATTACATAAGAGAACAATTAACTACATACTAGAAAAAAAATTATTGCAGTGGGGAAGGACTAGAAGGGAACATACCGGCATGAACTATTCGAGCTAGTCACGTTATAGTCATTGCTTTTGAAGATTTGGAGCACAAATAAGTTTCACCAAACAATTCAACTCAATCATGCGGACAATAACCTGGTTCCAATTAGGACAGACTCGCATGAAATTAGATACCCTGCTTAGAACAGAGACATCCCTGTAAAGGCCATATAAGGCAGTATCCCCCGGGCTCCTGTTGTAGCCTGTGGTTGTTATAGTTGGCTTGAATTCTTGCATACCACTGTTGACATAAATTATTAGATAAGCACTGTTACAATTTAATTTCCATAAATGATCGATTAAGTGCTGCGGCACTTATTTCATTTTCCCTGTTATAGGTGCGGCGCTTATATGAGAGTGCCGCATATTTGAGAGTGGCACATATTTCAACTATGGGTAAAACACTGTGGGAAATATAGAGAGAATTAAGTGAGGCGCGTACTAGGTATGCACAATTTAGTTTAAAATATGTACACCTTGAACTGTTATAAATATGAACCCGGTTTCAAGAGTTTCCCTACATTAAAACTTTAGAACTCATGAGTTGGTCGAGGTCTAATTTCGCAAGGGTATCTGTTTATATCAAGTGCCGTAACAAAGGTGGGGCGTTAATTAGTAAATACCCAAATTAGTGCTGTAGCACTAACTTGTTGAAGGGAAGTGTATGGTAAGTTGGTTGCCCGGGGTAGCTCAGCTCAGGTGGCTGACCCAGTTACCCAGGACAAGTTTTCTCCATATAGATAAGGCCTAGGGTTGATAGGAAGAGACTGATAGAACCTGTAATAATGTACCTTATGATGCTTTATAAATAGCCCACCAACCACTATTTATGTTGATTTAGTTACATATATTGAGCAGTACAATAATCATACTTGTTTAGTTATTATTTTATCTGCAATATTATAATTATATTCTTTATCAACAAAAGCAACAGGAACAGTACTTTTGCAAAGTCAAGGAAATGGTCATTAAAAAGTTAACTAATATGAACAAAAGTGCCTTGTTTTATATTGAGTTGTTTTCCAAATGTTTCAGGCCTGGCTCTTCACCAGGGGTTGTTATTGTCACTTATTCACTGTGCTGGGCCTCTTTGTCTTGCATATTTTTCCTGTGGTTACATCCCTGATTTTACAAAGTTTTGAACATATCCCCCACCCCTTTCCTTTGAATCCCCTGATTGGCCCTGGGACCCAGCCCTGGGGCAAGCCGATGATCAGTGCACTATAACATGGTTTTCAGTGACCAAAGTAAGGTATACTAAGCTTAACTGAATGAAATGCACTGATGTAACTATGTATTTGCTTTTAAGGCTAATAACCTTGTCTATCCATTTTTTTTCTCTTCGTTCAGAAAGTGTATACAAGACAAGGAGCGGGGAACTTGTTCTTTCTTTCTAATCGTTCTCATGTTGTTGGCCAATTTAGAAGTAAGTTGCAAGCAAGATGGGTAAGTTTTATGCACAGCTCTGTACATTTATTATGCATACATATTTCGACTTTATTCATGTCAACTATTTGTTTGAAATGGTTTCAGATTACTTCATGCTTAATAAAGACAATAAATGTATAGAGATGTGCGAAAATCTTACCTTTGATATTATGTGTATCTTTACCAATATTTCTTTTTTATTTTTTTGAAAATTCTTTTCCTGTTTTCCAGGGAAACTTGATGATGTGAAGAAAGAACTTAAACAATTGAACAAACAAAAGGAAGAGGCTTTAAAGTCATAGTACTGTTGTGTTAATCCTTAGCAAGGAGTGGAGACAGCAAGAGTATTAAATAACCAAGTCGAGAAAGAACTTTGACAACTGAACAACTAAACGAAGAGGCTTTAAAGCCATAGTACTGTTATGTTGATCCTGAGCAAGAAAGAGAGACAGCTAGAGTATTACAAGACAGCCCATCAGTTTTGACTCTTTCGAATCCTGCTCTGTGCCTGTTACTGGAACCAACAAGGCACATTGAATATGACGTACTGGCCATTCCTATTTGGAAAAGATGCATGCTGTTAGATCAAAGATATTGTTCTAATCACATTATATAGCAGTTTTTCAATGAAACGAACAATTTATTAATTTACTTTCAGCACAAGAGCTCTTTTACTTTTAGGCATACAAGGAAAGAACAAGAAGTGTGCAAATTTTTCATCTTTAATGATGACAGCCCGGGGGGGTACTTTAGGAATTTCTGGGTGGGGATGTGCCGCTGGGACCCTGGAACCCTTAACCTATACCAGAGCTAGTTCAGCTAAATTTTGCTACCCTATACTAGAGTAAACTCCCCAAATCCCCCTATCCTAGAAGCTAACTAGTCTAGATAAAATTCAACCAAATCAGTTTCTTCCAAAGACCGAAATGTTCTGATTTATAATCCTAGAGTAAACTGCTTGAAAAATACCCTTCACAAAACCTATATAGGACCCCGGGGATGACAGACAGTAGGAACTGACACCAAACTGAGTGAAACATAGAAACAACCACTCAAAACATCAAAAGAAAGTCTGAATAACACTGCAAATATAAAACAAGGAACAGATTTCTAAAGAGTTCATTTTTGTTGTTTGTTGTGTTTGATGTAATGCTTAGGAGACATATTTGCATTTACTTGACACAAAGCTGTGATTTTGTCATTTACAAGGTAAGTAATTTGTTTTGCTAGTGTTAGTTCCATAGCAAACATAAGAATGCAGACTTGGGAATAATAGTGAGTTTACGCAACAGGCCCCAGTTGTTCAAAAGGTAGATAACGCTGTCCACCGGATAAATCAATGTCCAGTGGATAACGCAATTAGTTTTCGTAATACTTATCCATTGTATAGCGATTTATCCGGTGTATAGCGCTATCCAACTTTTGAATAACCGGGGCCAGGACGGTAGAAAGAAGAGGACGGCAAAAAGCTTGTGTGTGACAAACGTGAAACGGCTATTACTTGCGTGTTTTGTCGTGATCTTCACTTACATTTTACAAAAAGATGCGTTTAAAGGAGGGTAACATTTGGCGAAAAGTTTTTTTTTTAAAAAATATATTGTCACGCTTGTCACAAAAGGTTTGCCGTCTTCTTTCCTCACCCGTCCTGTTGCCGAAGCTCACCATTAACCGAATGAACAGTAGTGACACAGCGTCTCTGATTTACAGTACTCAGACCCAAAGAACCAAGGACTGAGTGCTAATACGGAGCCTCCCCTTTATGGGAAGTTAGTCCTTCATCATCATAGTAACCCTCGACAGTGTGTATTAATGTGCCGTGGATTCTCTTATCCAATATCCTGTTTCAAGCATTCACATAGTGCGTGGACGTAGCCTGCTATTAGGCGTCGAACCGGGTAGGGGGGAGGGGTAAAGGGAGAGTAATTTTTTTTCTCCCTCTCCCCTCTCCTCCTACGCTAGCCACACAGGCTGCGCGGATATGCTGAACAAAGTGGAAAGCAGCGAAAAGATGGAAAAGAAGAACAACAACAAACAATGATTCCAAGGGACAGATAGCCTGCGGTTATGGCCGCGCGAGAAATGAAACGAGAGCCAAAAAATGAAAGAGGGGGGAGGGGGAGGGGAAGGAAGGAAACTCCACGCTATTTTACTTGCACCATTTTTCGCGCAGTCTTTGACTCTCGTTCCTCGTTCTTTGCTCCTAAACCCACGGAAACGCTTGCTACGCAGGCTAAAGGAGAGAGTAGAAATCACCTGTGGAAATTTATTGTTTTAATAGCTCACTGATAGCTCATTGTGTCGACCTAGGATACCTTGTAATTCGCTCCTGAGGCTTGACTGTTTCAGGTTTTTTTTTTATTTGTTAATCAGTTGCAAGGGATGACATGCTGTGCTATTTTAAAATATTTTAATAACCAATATCTTTTAATATAATATCTTTGCTCTGTAAACGAATATCATTTAAAGGTCTTCCTGTTTTGACTCTAGCATTTGGTAACTGGCTAATAACGCACTCTTCTCAGTCAAAGAGCTCCCAGATTTTAGCAAAGCGCAAAAATAAGCGCGCCAAGTTTGAAAATTAAAAAAATATCATCTAATGGTTAAATTTCTATAGAAAAAGCTATGAAAGTTATAGCAGAGCTTAAAAATAGTCCTGGCCTTAATAATACAAATTAAGGCTCTGACAGTTGTGTTACTATTGCAATACATGTATTTTTTGTACTAAGACTCCTCTGTTAAAGTGGGCAATTTACAGAAATTTTATTACAATGACATGCCGTTTAATTTTACCTTGCGCGCTTTGATTGGCTAGAAGATTAGAGGCTAACCAAATGGTTTTCAAAGCTGCAAAAATCGTTCAAAAATTTAATATAGAAGGCTCGGTAAACCACGTACAGGCAAACCGCTTTTTTAATATAAATATATATTTTAAATTCATGCCCGTACATATTAATTTTATTATACGGAAATGAAGCGAGAACAGTCATTTGCATTTTGCAAGATGCTTCCCAATGCCTTTCATTTTGAGGAAAATAAAATGCCATCGTCAAATTTTATTAAACCGAGCGGCCTAGAAAAGTGAGAAAAAAGGTCCTATTTCAATTGTGGCGATATTTAATGTCACAAAGCTTTTAAAAATTCTTTTTGACAGTAGCCGTAACAATTTCAAAAGTGGATGCAAATCTGAATCGCTTTCAGCGAATGTCAATATGTTAAAAATTGCGCGTGTGAAGTGCTCTCATTTGACAGACTCCATCTCATTGTCTTCTTTAATTACAACTCTTCTCTTAGCTCCGTCACCTTTTAATCCTATCGTTTGATGTCGGTGTCTTTGACAAGGAAATTGAACTTCAAAAACCTGTTTTGCTTGTCACTATTTTCTTGCCACAAATATTTTCAGTAATATCCAGGTGTTTTGTTTTACCTTCTTAAAAAAATTTACCAACGTTTTCACTTTCAAGAAAATTGAAAGTAGCGACAAACGGCGTAATCGATAATAAATGCTACTCAACACAGCAAGCAGTCTGTTTAGTTTAGGCGGTGATTTTCAAGGTAATCCTTAAACATTCAGGTATCCACAACTTCACACACAAAAGTAACAATATTTAATTCACATTTCACTGTTTTGGAGAGCATATTTAGCCATACTTACACGTAAAAATGATATCTTATCTCGAAGATATCCTTGCTAAAATGCCTATATTTTTTTCATCCATGTTTTTCGTTTTGATTTTCATAAATTAAGATTGTCAGCTAGTTCATGTTTATTTATTCCTGGTCACGCGGAGTCGGAAGTTATTTATTTGCAGCTTGTTATTGTGAAAACTTCATTTGCAATCTGGCGATTCAGTCGATACTGAAAAAGAAAAGCGTGTTTTGAGCTGAAAAGCGCCCGCTTAATTTGTGGTATTTTGAAAGGAAGCAGCCTCAAAAAAGAATATATTGATGATCACCCGGCATCGTGCAAAAGCAATGGCCACGAGGCACAAAATCAGCCAAGAAAATTGCAAACTGTTGAGAGGTAAGGAGGCACTCATCGAGTGGAGTCAGCGACAGACAGTTGGTTACAAGAACGTTCGTGTTACTAACATGACGACTTCTTGGAGAGATGGCCTCGCTTTCTGCGCCATAGTACACAGGTTTAAACCGGACTGCATGTAAGAAAATTTCATTCCCTTCTCTTCTGTTTTTTATTTTTGGCTTCTGATTAAACGATATCTTAATCCAAGCATTTCGATTTAATTTGTACGTCTGAGAGACCTACTTGTTGCCGTTTTCGATTCCGAACAGTTTGCTAAGCATTCAAACTGATTGTAATTTCCAACCAAAAATTTTTCGCGGTAAAAAAGTGTAGGAAAATTGGTTTGTTTGACGGCTGTCTACTCAGTAAATTGTTATTTTGATTTCAAACGTAAATTAAACGTCGAAAAGAAGTGCGATTTTTTCAGTTTATTTTGAAGATTATTCGGTCGGTCACCAGCCAAAAAATGACTAAGATTTCTAGTAAACGTTCTCTTTCATTTCCTTAACAAACTTTTCATCACAGCATGTTTACGAGAAGACTACATGTTTCTTTAAAGTACTGTTCTTGTCAACAGCTGGCAGATCATGTAATAAATGAAAAAGATAATCGTATGCTGAAACTGTTCGAACACAACAACAGGAATTTCATTTGTATTTCAAGCGAGCATGTTTGTTTACTACTATCTGCCTATAATGTACCTGGCAACATACACGACGTGCAACCTCGCTGTGTTAGATTAGTGATCTGCAAAAGTTTATTACCAAGGTCAATGTTACTAATTTCACCAGAAGACCCAGTTTTACGGTCAGACAGGCAAAAGAATGCTTCTTTAAAAGAAACAACACGTCTTAGCAGCCGACTGAAAAGCGTGAAACAAAAGCAAAACTTAGAGGATTAATCTTTCCATTAAAATACTCTAATCGAAAAACTAGTTGAATCAGAAGAATCTTGCGTTTTTAACGTCTGCCGTTTAAGTCACAACCACGACTGACGTTTTGAAACCTTTGAGTAACATCTATATTTCAGTTTTTCAAATATTTAGTTTTGCTTTTTGCATCAAAAATTTGCCGCCAGTGAAACCCCCAAAACAATGATCGAAGTTCACAAATTGGCCTCGAATTTGCAAGGCCGTAAATTAGCTGTTAATCAAGTCATGTTTTAACAAATGTAGATCGTTAACTGGTCTTAAAATCAAACCTGAGTGTATGTCATCACGTTTCTACCAAATCAGTGTTTTTTCCGTCATTTTATTTTTTTTTTAAGTTATGGTATGTTTTGACTGGCCCCTTTGCTGTTTACAAAACAGTTATATGCTTTTTTCGCCCAGTTTAAAGATGTTAAATCGTACTTATCATGTTGTCTGTTTTGCTTTCAGCGATTTTGCCAATCTCTGCAAGAATGATATGTTAAAAAATAACGAGTTGGTAAGCGGGTTAATTAACACACCTTTATCACACCATGCAAGTTTGAGCATTCAATATAGGGAATCTAAAACATTACCAAGACTATCCCTGTATAAATAAACAGGTTCCGCCAGTTCGTCATACCTTATCTCAAATTTTCGTGTTGCAATCAGGTTGCCTGAATCGCGATATGCATCTGTAACCAGAAATAATCGAGAAGATAATTTTTCCAGCAGTATGTCGCCTTCATGCCGAAAATGATCATTATCAGTCGCGAGAAAACCTGCATTTGTCTGCTTTATAGTTTCTTCATAATACATACAGCTATTTCGAGAAAGGTTGTCGGAAAAAGTGCACGCGACAATCCCGAAAGGTATTGTGGGTGGTTTTGAGTTCACTCTTCTTCAAAGAAATTAAAAGAATGGCATGAGAGGCCATGGACGTATGTTTGCGAGCTGCTAAACGAAAGCAACAAACGTAAGTTCGACAGCTGCAGTGTCAGGAACGGTGTATTGATTATATCCCATGTTACCTTTCGGGATTGTCGCATGCAGATTTTTTCCGACAACCTTTCTCGAAATAGGTGTATACTGGTTTTAAACCCTTTCGCCCAAGGTCAAAAGCTGAAAAAGAAAATGAAAAATAAATCCATTCACTCCGGCAAAGACATTTAGGAGTCGTGAACTTTCGAAAGTCATTATCCTAATGAGGCCTAAGTATGCAAAAATTCTGTCTCAAAACTATGACATAATAGAACGGGAAAATGTCTATGCGCATGCGCCAAAGTACTCGCACTTCTAAACATGTACTCTTCTCCAAAACCCCTTGCCTTTTTACGTCCAGCGGATCCCATAAAAAACCCAAAACAGGCCCTTTTACCTTCTTCTTCTGTAAAAGATATCAGTTTGTAAAATATTCTCTTTTGTTTGTCAATAGGCATTCAGAGTGGCAGAGGAACAGCTTGGTATCCCGGCCTTGCTGGATGCGAGTGACCTGGTGTCGATGGATGTCCCGGATGAACTAAGCATCATGACTTATGTGTCGTCTTTGTATTTTCACCTTAGCAAACTTAACAATTCAGGTAAACAGATGCAGCTTGAAGTAAATTGAATAATACCTGCGTGTAACGAAATTAATGGTTAATGAACCTGCTGGCAGAAATTTTACCATTTTAACCCAGAAATATAGCAACAAAATCAAGCGGATTCTTATACGTGAGTTACAGTCAAATTTTAATTTTGATAAACATTTAACCAAGGAACTTGCAAATTTATATTACAAGAAAAATAATACCATCTTTACTAACTGTATTTATTTATTTCATTGTCTTTTTAATTATATTACTCTTGATAATAGAGATAACTATACAAATACTTTCAGTTATTAGTTTTGCTATACTTAACAATTATTCCTCGAGCCCGAATGGGTTCTGAGTCAGTAGCCCATGAGGCCGAAGGCCAAATGGGCTATTGACTCAGAGGCCATGAGGGCGAGAGGAATAATTGTTTTAGTGAAATTCAACTAGTTGGTCAAAAATATCGAAAATAAAAAACGTTTAGTTACCGGTAGTTAAAGCTAGACTCTAATCCTTTTTTGCCGCCAAAAATCCTGCGCTTTTCGCTACTAGTGGGCTATAACATATAGCCTAGTAGTAGCTCAACCAATCAGAACGCAACATTGATAATAACCACTAGTTGGATTTTACTAAATACTGGTACATTGATCTTCTGTACAAGTAATCAACAACAAAATCTTCTTCATGAAATTAAGACCGTCACCAAGGACCCACTTAGCCTAAATTTCCAACCCCAAAATTAACCTTTATTGCCAGACTTCAAAAAATGTAGGTTCTTACGAGCGGTTTTTATACTGTACTTATTACTGGAACACAAGCTGTTTATTAATCTGTATGTTTTTATTATAGAAAATGGCACACAAATAAACAACAAAATGGGTAAATAATCTCTTTCTGTCTATGTTCAAATATTTTCGAACGAATTCATTCATTTTGATAACTGTATAACACTTTTTAAGTTTTTTCTTTTTCTGAACAGGAAAACCCAAGCCGCGATACATGTTCGATATTCTGGCGGCAGATGAAGAGTACAAACGGCGTTTTAAAATCAAACAACGTGAGATAGTGGAAGAAGAAACAGAAACTGAACACTCTACGTAAAAACAAAGAAAGAAAATATATAAAGATAAGTACACATGCATCTTTAATGTATAACCGTTTTGCAAACCTCTTTATAAAAAAAAAGTGTCTCGCAGTCCGAAACAAATTATTTCAGAGTTAAAATTGTTCGAGTTACGAAAGCCCAAATGATATGCCCCAACGTACCATCTTTTGTTTTTGTTAAAGTAGCCTTTATTTCCCCTTCCCCTCACCTTTTTGCACCTGTCTCGCAGGCTATAACCCTCTGGGTTAGGTTGTTTTTGTTTTTTATACATCACTGAGAAATACTGGACTATTTCATTACCCAATTGCTTCGCTAACAGGGGATATATTTTCCTGTTTACTCTTCTCTGTTTCTTTCTCAGCCCGTTCGTTTTGTGGAAAAATCTGGATAACAGGTAATTAGTTTGTCAGGTATGCTTAATTCGGTTCCATTTCTCACATACTGGGATGGCTGGATCATTAATATCTTGTTCATGTCGGTCGAAGTCGTTTTCAGAGAAACACCCTTATCAAAACAAATAAATAAGAGTACTTTGATGACAGGTGCTTAACAGACAGATCTGAGCTTTCAAGGGTCTATCTTGCCTCTCCTCCGCAGAAACCTCTTTGTGTTCTAGGGAGGCTGAAAAGAGGGTCTCAATGGGGTTAACCGATAGGCGTAAAACGGCCAAAAATTTAGCCGATAGCCGTAAAAATAGAAAAATTTTAACCGTTAGCCGTAAATAGGGTAAAAAAGAGTTAACCGTAAAAGAAAGTGTTTCCTAGATTTGCTACTTTTAAGGAAGATACTAAACTCACTTATGGTTCCGTTTTTTATTTCCCGGCTAGTGTGATTCTGTACGCACGTTAGGCGAAGCGCCTTAACCAAGACCTAGGTTCCATTTCCAGCGCTCTCTCGGGGAACAAATTTTTTCCATAGCGAAAGTGTGGCTTCTTGCTTGGGATTAATATTTGCAATTTTCCGGAGGTCGTGCCCTCGAAACACTAAGGAAACAACACGCAGAGATGTCACTGTTTGTTAAACACGTTGCCGATAAACAACATTTCCCTGTTTTTCTCTGACGCTACGGTAGACATTGCCATGCCTAGTCCCCGTACGGCGTCTTCCCACGCAATCTCGGTCAAGGTATTTCGGTGGCGAACTCGCTCGGACCACGTGACCCGAAACGCATTAGCCGCACGGAATAATGCGGCCTACGGACAAGGCAACGGCAGACAGTCGTTCCGTACATTCCTTCACTATCATTAAAAACACTGGACACGGGAATATTGTTATTGGCCGTTTTCACACTAGAGCTAGAAATGGATCATCCGTCTGAGACTAGCCTAGTGTACAGACTAGACTAGACTAGTGTACAGTCGCGTCCTCCCCACAGACACCCCTTCTCCGAAATTTTCTGAGTGGAGGGGGCGGCTGTACACAGGCTATCTGGAACGGATAATCCTGGATAATCCTGAGATGATCCGAAGACCTTTATTCAAAAAAATACAGGTTAATTAATATTTAATTTTTTGAAACAAAAGAAGTTAATTTTTAACTTTTTCGTTAACCGTAACTGAAAAAAATTAACCGATAGCCGTAAAAGAGCCAAAATTTTAGCCGATAACCGTAGAGGCCACCACCCCATTGAGACCCTCTGAAAAGAGAGCAAAATATAGCGCACAGGGGACCATGGGAAGAGGAAAGAAAGGAAGAAATTCCAGTTACCAACAACTTCATTTGTTTTCCTTAGGTTGTCGGGGTAACCGGAAAAAAATGCGTCAAAGGACCGTTTTCGTGTTAACAGTATGTACTGTAAAAGCTGTAGCTGTACAACAGAGTGAAGTATATGAATAAAGTTCAATTTATTATTTTTCATCAAAGTGTGACCTTTTAAATAATTAAGTGTTTTTTTTTCTCTTATGGTACTGTTCCATTTTATAATGGAAATTTTAAAAAGTTCAGAGTTTTTGACAAATAAAATGAACCTGAGAACGCGTGAATCACGCAATTTAATGCCTCTTTTTAATATATGCCTATTGAAATCGCGAAAATAAAACCCAGCAGATTATTGTCTCGCCCAAAATCGTGAAATTGAGTACCAATAAGGAAATAAAAATGACGGCGAGATTCTTGGTCTCAGAGCTCTGAAGGCCACACTGGCTAAAAGAGGCGCGGCAGGCGCTGGGGACGACGACAACAAGAACAACAACGAGCATTATTTGCATGACCATACAAGCACATACAGTATTGCAAAAGCTATTTTTAGGAATCAAAATTACATCATAGGGCAATTAACTTACTTTGATAATAATTTGTCACGAACATCAAAACAAGCTGAAATATATTTTATGAATTGTATATTGATATAGAAATTAGAGGAGTTCATCAATTCATTAATCAAACCGTTTATAGGTAACTGGGTAATATTTTGAATCAGAGTCTTGACTTTATAGTAAAATTTATTCCTAATCGTAGAGTATGTAGGACATTGAAAAAGAAAGTGAGCTTCGTCTTCTATTAGATTGGATCCACAAAAAGGGCAATGCCTAATATATAGATTTCGCCAGGGCTAAAAGCGAAGCTCTCGATAATTTTTATAGTTTGCTCAAACAAAATATGAAATCGTATAATGCTTAGCGGCGAAGGTAACGAGAACGGTTAAAAAAACAGCAATAGGTCTAATTAGCAAAAAAGCAACTTTGCACGTGCAGCACACTTTTTTGTACATTTCTTTGCCGTTGTTTTGCACGACTGCAACGTAAAACGTCCAGAAACTTCCTGGTTACAAGTTTTATGGAGGAAGTGTCGTACGTGTTCTTGTTCACTTTTTTTTTTCACTGTCGCTCATTTTCACCCTGGTGGCCGCCAACATCCCGCCGCTACAAAATTTCATGTTGTTCTTCCAACAAAAAATGTCTCCCTTTATTTTTTGTCTCTCGCTCTAGCTCCTTTTCTCGTTGAGCTTTGCTGGCCTGTCGCCCTACTTTTTCTTTTTCTCTGTCTTTATACAGAAACATTTTCCGCTTTCCGTTTTCGTCTTTAATGACTCTTTAGTTGTCTCTGCTTCACGAGACGCGGGTGGCCATACGCTTTCTATCCAAAATAACCTGACATTTGGCATCGGCTTACATGTAGTGGGTGTACGGACGGTCGTTCGTACCCTACGTCATAACCAAATTTTCTAGGATGGATAGTTTACCAAATTTTCTTACCCATGGTGCTCCGCTGGCGCGCTTCGCGCGCGCGAGCTTCCTTATTATCCCTCGTAGTTTGATTAGACGAAGTTGTTATAAAGAGGGAAGGATGGTGAAAAGTCGATCACGTGACCTTTACACTTAATTAATCAATATTCGTTCGAGAAAGATAAAGAAAACTGTATAATTTCCACTGCATAAAGACCAGAGAGACCTTATTAATTTATGCAAATATATCGGCGTTTCTGGCGTCCACGCTTTTGTATCGTCTTCTCCATCCTAAACAAGTTACTTCTCAGGAAGGTCGCCTCAAAAGCGATGGTTCAGGAGTTTTACAAAACAAAAATGAAAGCGTTGTGTCAGGAGCCCATGAGTCTCCTGAGTTGTATGAATAATCTGACGGAATCGTTCGGCACTGATCGAGTAGCGAGAAATAATATGAATTCTCCAGACATCGAAGGTTGTAATAGCTCTGGGGAAGATTGAAGGGAACTTCGTTTTAAAGCCCGTATTGTTATATTACTGCAACAGAAACAAAGAAAAAGGTTTAGTACATTTTCTCGACACTGGAAGGGGACGTGAGTGAGGAGGTGGGGAAATTAAAGAAAGAGAACTAGCTCTCCCTTCCTTAGCCGTTCGCTCGCGCTTCTCTCATAGCTCGCATCGCTCGCCATAAATGAAGAGCTTGCTGGCGGGCTATGGTTCCTTGTAATACCATCGAAAAAAGTTTGAAATACATCTGCGTGAGTGGTTTTCGCAGCCAATTAAAATCTTAACACTTCCCGAAAAATAGTATTTTATCATTTAAAAACACCTTTTATTAGTTGCTGACTTGCAGGTATGATATCTGTCAGGCTAAATAAACGGCTGATTAGCATTGTTTTTATTGACATAACTAGTGCAGCTGCAACCTCAAAAAGTTGGCAGTTGAATTAACGGCAGTAGCGATATCAACTGAAGTGAAACAAATTTAATGTCAAAGTTTTGAAGATATTGTACCGAGAATATCTCAAATCGCGTAAGAATATTTCGGCTGTGTAAGAGAGGATAGTCAGACTAGCATATATGGAGGAGGCTCCTTTGAAGAAGTTATTACTACGTCTTACTGGTTTTTCTATTTACGTGCTCATCGGTGGAGTGGTTTTTATGCAAATCGAAAAAGAGGAAGATCAAAACGCTGCTGAACAAACGGATGATTTCCTGCTCAAGTGGATGAAGACATATAACATTTCCAGAGAAAATGTCACAAACATGTTACAAGATTTCCAAAGTTTGAAAGAGAATGGATACAAACCATCATGGAGCTTTATTAATTCAGTCTACTTTGTTCTGCAGCTCCTCACTACAATAGGTAAGGGTTGAATACTTCCTTTAATTTATTTTTTTTCTTGTGTCAAATTACACAATTGATAAAAGGGAAAGATGTTTTTAAAAAATGATCAGGATAAACCAATATATCGTGGCTTCAATAAAGCATAACTATCTAAAATGCGGTGAACATCAAATATTGAAATGTTTTTTGAGGGGAGGAGGAGGCACTTTTTTATTTGGCCTAAACGGGTGAGCCTCTAAACAAGGAATGATTTTGATCAGGGTCTTGAGTCTTAAAGAGGGTATACAATTTCACCATTTCGCTTCTTGAACTGGGTGGTTTTTGTTTTGAACTGGAAGGTTGGCGATGAGCGGTATACATTTGCGGCACCAACATTTTTTAAAAATATCTTATTGCGTGATTTTAGTTGGAAAAATTAGTTTATTCTGTATGTACAAACGAAAGGAATCAGGGTAATAAAGTAAGCTCTCTTTTCTTGAAGTGACTAAGCACAGTTTCTCTGACATAAACATTTGTTTTCGCGCGCGCCAAAGACTGACGTGGTCTGGAAAAATGAAAACTTCGTTGTTTTCGCCCCTTGAAATGCTTTATCCCTCTACTGTTAACATTTTTACTATGAGAAGACATGCAGCCAATGGGATTTTCTAGTAAAAATGTGAGGACCAGCTGAGAGAAATGGCCAGAAGTTGTCTGTAGAAGTTTATTCCGTTTTCGTCGCTTTTGTCCGGCATCGCGTGACCCTGGCGCGCGCACAAGTTCTGAGAACAATTTTTTTTGTGGACTTCCATAGACAGAGCTTAAGCAACTAAGACGACGACGACAACGACGACGTCAAGAAACAATTGTTTTTATGAACAAAACAACAGCTCTGCACGTGCATCTCGCTTTTTAGTACATTTCTTTGACGTCCACCGCAGGACTACGACGTGAAACCTCCCAATGCGACGTGTTACGGAGGACGTAGATGGCTAAAGTCCCTAAGAATTCAACTCCAGGAAAGTCGCCTGCATTTGACGAATTGAGCGGTTCCAAATTGACGCGATAAAGTTTGAAAGGACGCAAATACATTTTTTTAGTGATGTTTTCACTGCCGTTGTAGTCGTTGTTGCTTAAGCTCGCTGAAAGAAACGACGATATCTCAAAATCTACTCATTAGAATTTGACAACATTTGGCAAAATTCTTGTCAATATCGCCCTTTAAGGCTGAGGGGGACACCTGTCTCTGAATAAATTCATAAGGCAAAATTTTGCTTGTGCTACTTCTTTTAAAACGCTTATATCTCGGCTGTTTTAGAGGCGATTTCGATAAAAATTTTACAGAAATAACACTTAGCTGAATAGGGCTCTACAATGACAAAATATAAGCAAAGCTTTGAAAAATGTGTAAATAAAATTCAAAGGACGCAAGACGCCTACAAATTTTGGAGGGAAATTACCGAAATTACGTCATCGATAAACTCACTTGTGCCTATGGAAAATAAACCACTCGGGTCCCGGATGTAGTTTTTATGAATTTTACTAGTGGTATATTTTACAGTAAAACACTTGTGTCTATATAATAAAACCTAATAAACGTAGTGTCTTAATTTATAAATATATTTTGTCCGCGACAAATTTAAGCTTTATACCTGCAACGAGTCTGATCTTAAATAACACCCCAATGAATATTAACGACTCACATCACTGGCATGTATACGTACCAAACTGTGTTCAGCCACCTTAAACAGGGCAGCGAAAGAAAGATTTTTGTCGTAAAACAGGGTCAGGGTTTGAAGGCCTGCGCGGCACACCTCTGCCAAAACTTCCGGGGTTTTGTTTCTTCCCTAAAATTTCACATTTACCTTGAACAGCGACCGCAAAGTCATATTTGCAAAAAACATAACCCTTAATATTGATTCGGAAGCAGTTCATTTACCCTCTGTATATGCTGCAGCGTGCAGCCACGTCGAACGAAATCTGTTGTGCGCCACTTGTTGTTGCTGTAGTTGCATCATGACCCCAAGGAATTTATTATTTGTTCTTTTCATTACATACTACTGCCTGAATTTACCCAAAAAATGTCAATAATGTTAAGGCAAACTGATTTTTCGAGTCAAGACGTAAGGTTTACAGCTGATTTCAGTGCTGTGTATACACCCTTATTTTCAGACATGATTCGACGGTCATGATTCGACCGTCATGATTCGACCGAGAGGTTACCAAGCAGTACAGTATTTTACCTTGAATATCCTACAGGAATCAAAGCACACAATCTGAAAGTTACTTTAATGATAGCTTGAATGTTTCTCTTGTAATTCAGAAAAAGAGGACTGTGATCCATAATTTGTTCTCCTTTTCAGACAACAGCCTCTCATACAAGTCACGCAATATAATCGCGATACATGTTATCGGGCGTGTGGACGTCTCGATCAATAAGTTTTTCGGCTCTTTTCTCAACTTTTTTTGGGCTTCTACCTTGATCTTTAAAGAAATATCATATTTTATCCTTTTTCAATAAAAAAAGATGTTGCTTTCTTTTATGTATGGTTTTCTTTATTTGTGCTCACTAGGGTCATAGGTCGAGGATCGACTGACATTGTGATATTTGTCAATGGTCGACAATACAAAACTTTCAAACTCTCCAGCAAATTGTTTCACATCGGCAGACTGATCAATTTATCGGTTGATTTCTTCTGCAAAACGTCAAGATTTCTTGTTATTTTTTAACCCTGCAGAAGCTAAGTAAGGACGAAAAAGTACCAACTTTAAGAAATACAAATTTGCCTCCCTGTTAACTAAATTTGCATCACTGTTACGTGTGAATTGCAGGTGGTATTCACCAACGGCAAAATAACGAAACCTTGTCAAACGGAAGAAGACTAAACGATAAACCATCGGACTATTTCGCTTTTCGCCGTATTGATAATATTTCGTCCATTATGAAATCGCCTACAGAAATACATTCGAACTCGGCAATCGAACTCCAGGTTTATCAACTGATCACATGTTATCATAATTTCTGTATCATGTCGCTGCTTTCCAGGCAACAAAGCTTTCCTCTCCGGGTAAAGCGCATTTGTCGGGATTCTAGCTTCGTTACACTTATGTCCTTTAGTGCTAAGCTTTCCTTGCCGGCCAGATTTTTCTCTCACTGTTTCGGATCCCACGGCACAACTGCAACCGTTTACGTACTGCGAAGCGATACGTCACGTGATTAGTGTCGAATCATGACGGGTCGAATCATGTCTGAGAACGAGAAGTCCAAAGACTACTGCAAAGCTGATTTAAAACAACGTGTATTGTTTTTTATAACAATATTTCGGCTGGCCATACCAGCCTTCTTCAGGTTTACAGATGTAATGAAAACTGTTTTCCGTACGGTTTTTGTTGACAGGTTATGGCAACATAACCCCTGCAACAGCTGGTGGCCAGGTTTTTACCATTATCTACGCATTTCCTGGAATCCCAATCACTCTCCTGGCATTGCGTGCAGTTGGAAAATTGGTCAACATCGGTTTAAAAAAGGCAAACAGACCCCTACACAGAAAACGTCACGGTATGGCCTGCCCAGAAACCCAATGTCCTTTCCTGGAAAAAGCAAATATGTGCATCAATTTATGTTGCTTCGTTTTAACTTGGGTGGTGGTAACAACAGTCCAAGCGCGTTTGGAGCCAGAGGAGTCTGTTGTGTTTATTGTTTATTCCATGTTCGTGACGTACTCCACTGTTGGATTTGGCGATTTTATCCCCTTTGAAAACCAAAAACCCATTTTTATCGTATTTGTTCTGCCTGGCCTGTCCTTTTTATCGGGTTTGATTGATTCTGTTGTCGCTTACTTGGAAAAAAGCAACGTGTTAGGAAAGCGTTGTTATAAATGTGTGAGTTGCCTGGGAGTAAAAAAATGAAAGCAAAAAGGCAAGAATAAATTCCGCCGAAGCGGTTAAGGCCCAAGAAAATCAAGATACAGTAGAAACGGATATTAATGCAGAGCACGCCGTGTGAAATATTCAAAAGAAAACAAAACAAACAGAGGTATAAGCAAAGGAACATGGACACAGGAACAAAGTATTAGGTGGCATTTCAGCTTCAACGAAAGGATCGGAGAGAACTGTGAAACAAAAACAGATGATTCAGTTGTAAAAGATCACAAGAGCAATGCCCGAGCCCGGATGGGCAAAACAAGAGAGGACCTTGGGACCAATTATCTCCTCTCTTCAGGCAAAACTGAAGAAAGAATACCGAAACTGGTTTTTCTCGGGCCAATTTTTTTTTCAAGTTTGACGCAATTTGTTAAGGTGTGACTTAACAGTGCCAGGGAATTATCTAAATCTACAACATGCATGGCAATTTCTTTGTATTCAAAGGCATTCTTTTTCTCGAATTTTGAGGGCTGGCTGTGATTGATTCTTGACGGAAGGTTTTTCCAGTTTTGACTGAGGGATTCGGTGCCGTAGAATTCTGCATAAAATGGGAAACCAACTCAAATGTCACTGAACTGGCATGCAGAAAGGGGCTACCTCTCTGTACATCAGTGCAGGATCAAACCACCCCGGAGGGGGGCACTGCCACATATGGGCAATATAGGTATGTGCCGCTGTGAAGGGTATGGTTTTCAAGCAGTTTACTCTAGGATAGGGTATATAAATCAGAGCGTTTGGGTCTAGAATAGGGTATCATTTTTCAGGAAACTGATCAGTTGGGTGAAGATTTTATCTAGACTAGGGAAACAGCTACTCTAGGATAGGGGGGATTTGGGGAGTTTACTCTAGTATAGGGTAGCAAAATTCAGCTGAACTAGCTCTAGTATAGGTTAAGGGTTCCAGGGTCCCAGCGGCACATCCCCACCCAGAAATTCCTAAAGTACCCCCCCTCCCCCGGGCAAACCACTTACTTGTTAAGCAAATAAACTGGCACTACCTCCTCACGTAGGAGCAGTTTCACAGGCCGTCTCTGTCTCATATCTTTCTGTTTTCAATACCTTTTGTCTGTCAATTCTTAATAGACTTAAAGATGAGAAATATAGTGATAAAGTAAACCTCTTTTTATTAGATTGTGAAAGGTTTGAACCCAGGAGTCATTTCATAAGTAGTTTGAGTTTAATCGTCCGGGTTTAACGTAGTCCTGAATAGGACTGTTGTTGTTGACAATGACTGACGTTTCGACAACCTGTGCGGTAGTCATCTTCAGAGTCAAAGTGAGTTGTATGACTTTAGTTGATGTTATTAAACTCTAGTTATTGACCTGATTAGCCAATTAAGTCGCCATGTTATTTGGTCGTCTGTCACTTAAGCCGTGATGTTATTGGCTATGAAGACTCGCAATTTCATTGATACTTCTCGATTCGTCTATTGTCACACAGTTAAACAGTCGTCTATTGTTAGTCAAATTGGCAGTTGTCCCGTCGTTCTCTCCTAGTTAGTTTTGCTTAATTCCGTCAATAAGTCGTTTGTACGGTACCGGTAACTGTTGACTACGATTCAGTGGCGTTTGTTTTAAGATAGTAAATTACCTTTCTAAACCTTTCTTCTACCTTTCGTTTTATGGCCTGTATTCAAATACAAAGCCGAGTGCAAATGCGTTTTAGTGGGCATTTTTTCTTCCCCCATTTGAGTACTTTACCAAGGCCGGATTTTCCTGGCAGCCATGGAGCGAATACATGTCATATTTTGACAGCTCGCGAAGACACACGACGACACACGCGACAGGGACTCGAATAGTTCGCGCCAAAATGACTTCATTTGATGCGATTTTTTGCAGGGGAAGCAAATGGAGCTCCGCTCTCTCACTCGCTTTTGCCGCAGAAAATATAAAAAATCTACCGTTCGCGCTTCGTGCTCGTGAAAAAGTTTGAGCTCGACTTGTAGATAAGTCTAATATGATGCTTGTTAGGCAAAAATTGAGCCTGGAGGTTCAATTCACAATTTCTTATTTGCTCGATCCTCCAGAAAAAAAGGCAAGGCCTTCGGAAGGACACTAAAAACTAGGAATCACTTCTTTTGCACCTGCAGGTTTTGCGATTGTATTCTCATACTTTTCCAGAGAGCAAAAACACACAAACTTACAAGGGCATTATTGTTATTATTACTTATTTTCTTTTTATCGGGAAGCAGCTGGTGGTGGTTCGGGTAATTTGCAGTTGTTTTCAGTATAAAACTTCTTTAGCCATACAGTGTGTCTGATTTTTGCGACCAGTTTGATTTTCTGCCCTGAAGCTGTCACTGTATTGCCATTTTGAAGTAATTTCTTTACCACCGTTAGTTTTCTTGGCGAGTAAACTGGCAGACTAAATAAAATGGAATCGAAACAGCCCCGACACAGCCCCTTTAATCTTTGATACTCCAGCATCAATCAGGAAGCGGCAGCGATGGACGTCTTACTGCATTATTCACTAGATTGCAAAGCAGGACTTGGGCCCCGTTTCTCGAAACGCCTAGCCTGCGTAGAAAGCGTTTGCAGTCGAGTTATAGCGCGAAAGTTGGAGCGGGAGCAAATGTCATTCCTTTTTTTTTTTATTCTTGTCCCAACCTTCTCGACGAACTCGCGCGGAAACGCTTGCTACGCAGGCTACGAAACGCCCAGAAACTTTTCTGGCCCGAAGGCAAATTTTAAAATCAAAACTTGTTGAATAGGGGCACATGTACAGTCACAGTCAGAAACCAGTCGTTTCGTTAACTGATAGATTCATAGTTTCATGCTAATTTGTAGAGACTATAGAAATCAAATCTTCGCATTACTTATTCATTTTGCCTTTGTCATGATGATACCGAAAGGTCCGCGCAAAGGTATTCACTTGAAGAACTTGTGATCCTTTGTTATTATGGTAATTTGCAGAGACGAAAGTTTCATTGTATCATATTTTCAAAATCATTGAAACTTTGACCTTGAATGTAAACACGGCACACACAAAACAGCTTTCAGGACTCGAAAAGTTAGCAATATTTATCCAATGTAGACCCATTGGATAAAGAAGAAGTGGCAAAGGAGGGGCACCTTTTCAGGTCCCACCTTAACACGATCCAGACATGTTGGATTTGCAGTTTCCCCGATCGGATTCTTGGGAAAGCGGTTTCAAAAAGATGAGCAGGTTTCAGTGGGCAGTTCAGTGGTTTCGTGTGGAGAGTTATATGAGGTATATAAATAGGGTGGGTTTTCAAGGGTTAGAATGTAGAGAAAAGGGCAATGAAAACTGCTATAAACACATTTTATGGGGTATCTCAGACTAATGCAAAGAGACGTACCTTATTACATATTAAATAAATAAATTTATTTGTTTGTATTTATTCATTTATTGACGAGGTTTTCATCAACCAAACAAAAGAAACAAATCCAATTCAAGTCATAAGCAACTGTTCTATTTACAATTTTAAAAGGCTGAGCAAAACGGGAAAAAGTCGCTCGGTTTTCAACCAGAATGTATTTGTAGGTAAATGAAATTGAAAGAGTGTCTTTTTGGACAAACGTACACATATCCACACTCCCTCCTACCTCGCAAGCACTACGCAAGCAGCCATGTATAAAAGAAACTTGAGTAAAATCCATCTCTGTATATAGCGCTGATGCATGCGAAGAATGGCGTCTATGGAAGGAGAAAGGGTCGCATCGCTATGTCTCTGTTAACGACGGGGGAAAAAGTGTGTACTGAGTGCCCAAACACCGGTAAATCGGAAAAAAGATAAAAATATTATGGCCGTCTTGTTTGTAAATTGTGGGAGTTCACGCAATCACGAAGACGAAGGAAAACGAAAACGTGAAAAACCTCTAAATTAAAGTGATTTTGTGTTCTTTTAAATTTTATCGCGTTTATCTAGCCGCTATCAATCTGTCAAATGTTGGTGAACTTTCCTAGGGGTTGAATTCGTAAACGCTGTATTTTATCTTCAAAAAGGAAAGGAAAATTAGGCGTCGCGTGTTCACGTCCTCCATAAAACGTCAAATTAGGAAGTTTCACGTTGTAGTCGTGCAGTGGACGTCAAAGAAATGTACTAAAAAACGTGATGCACATGATGCAGAGCTGTTGTTTTCCTCATAAATCAATTGTTTTTTGACGTTTACGTTCTTGCTGTCGTCTTAAGCTCCGTAATATATCGCTTACTGTCAATGTGTCGTCTTATTTTAAAAATCTAAAAGAAGGAAAACATCAATTATGAATGGAAACTTCATTTCATTTAAAATAAAATAAAATATTTTAATCCGTTATATGTTATATTTGTTTTCGTTTTGAAAAGTACAGATTGCAGGGAAGAGCAGAGGTTTTAGAATCCCCTATCTGAAATGACAAGTTCGCGTGATCGCGTGTTCTATTTGACAAAATACAATACAGGCACGGAACAGTCGAAGTAAACAAAGTGTGCCGTTCTTAACAAGAGAAGTGGTTTCTCGGCAATATAGTTCACTACTCCTTTGTTCCTCTTTTTACAATCTTTTTGTCAGTTTAACGAATCCAACTTAATGGTACATTTTAAGAGATATCTTGCTAGCTTCCAGCATAACGCAGATTACTTTTTAATCTCTTTAACCCTTTAAGTCCCAATATCCACATACAAATTCTCCAAACTGATCTCGATATACTTCCTTAAAGAATTAGTTGAGAGAATTTGATAAAAGATCAAAGCATGTTCTCTTCGGTGATAATTTTATTGATTCTCATAACCTAATCTCTTGACAGTGTATGGATAATGTTAGGAGAAAATTAATGTTGGTCACTATTGGGACTTAAAGGGTTAATGAGTTTTGAAAAACATCGAGCAAAACAATCTGACAAAAGTGATGACGTGACAACACAACTATCAGAAGGTCACCCCGTGCCAACGAATAAAAAGAGCGATCTATCAAGTAGTCAAAACATTTCATATCAGGGAGTGCCACTAGAAGAAGCGCAAACAAAATGGATCGTGTCGTGCCACTAGCCATCTCGCTCTTCGCGTTCTTCTGTCTAAACTTTTCAAAGGCAGAAAAAGAACCTCAGACAGTCATTCTCGTGTCCATGGACGGAATGCCATGGAATCTGATTAGCGGGGAGTTTGCAAAAACACCAAACCTCGACAAAGTCGCGAAAAATGGGGTAACAGCGAAGTACATCAAGACAGTAGTCCCGAGCAAAACATGGCCGACGCACGTATCATTCGTCACTGGTTTGTATCCTGAGTCACACGGGTTGGTTTCCAACAAGTTTTGGGATCCAGTTTACGATGAAACGTTTATCCTGGAGTATGACTGTACGACTTTTGACCCAAAATTTTACAACGAATCCGAACCTATATGGCTGACACTGGAGCGGTCAAAGAAAAACAAAGGCCGCAGTGGGGTGTACTTTTGGCCGGGCTTTGGCGGCTGGAAACCAATTCCCAGCTTCTACAGACACCCGATTTGTAAGCTGAACTGTAGCGCTGTTGATCCTAAAGACCTCCCTAGCCTACGCAACAAGACGCGAAGCTCGTTTCCACCCTACGAGCACTGCTATCCCGACTTTTTTAACGAAACTGAGACATTTCCTCGTCGAGTCGACCGTGTCATTAGCTGGCTAAAATCTGATGATCCTCCTCGCTTTGTCGCGTTGTATATTGATGCACCGGATTGGAAAGGTCATTCGGGCGGTGCTTTGTCCAAAGTCTACAAAGACTCTATTGAAGAAGTGGACCGGGATGCTGTGGGTTATCTCATGGACCAGCTTAAGAATGTGTCGTTAATTGACAAAGTGAACGTGATCTTCGTAAGCGATCATGGCATGGTGAACGCATCTTCAGAACGAGTGATCGTTTTGGAAAACTACATCGACCCGTCAACATACCGACTGGTAGAGGGTGGAACTATTGGGCACATCTGGCCAAATGAGGGCATGTTAGACGAAATCTACAACAACCTGACGAAACCCAACACTCCTGATCACTTAGTTGTGTACAAAAAGGCAGATATCCCTGACGAATACCACTGGAAACACAATCGGCGTATTCCGCCCCTTTATCTTGAACCAGACCCCGGGTGGACTTTAGCCAAGACCAACGCTTCCGTCAGACAAGGAACATGGGTCCGAGGGGATCACGGCTGGCCACCACAGAAATCGAAGACGCATTCTATTTTATTCGCCCAAGGGCCTGCATTCAAAGTGGGTTACGAGATAGAGCCCTTCTCTATTCTTGATCTTTATCCAATGATGTGCGATTTACTGGGTATAGAACCTCGCCCTAACAACGGAACCATGGCAACTGTTAAGAAGATGTACAAAGACGAGCCTGACGACGAGCCTGACGGGAAGAAACCGACCGCTGGTCAATGGAGCGTGATCACGTGGTCATCTCGTGCGTTAGTTGCCGCTAGTGCTGTTGCTGTTACGATGGTGTTGTGACATTTCTTCTAAGTTTGTTGTCCTTCGTTCATTTCTAAGCTTTAGTTCGCATACTGGACAGTATGAAGTACAGAGATGTGAACAGGTTACTCTTTTCTAGGGCCTGGAGCACATTGTGTAAAACTTGTTATTTAGCAGCCATGATTGTTAATTGAGTGCTTTTGTTAATCCTTATTCATAGCAAGCATTCATTGCAGAGAAACTTTTATTAAGCGCGGAAAACCGTTTCGGTAGATCCTGGACTTCTCCTCCATTTTAAAGTTTCTTGTTAAACAAACCGCCTGTATTTAACACCCACGGGTGTTAAAGGAGCTGTGCCATAAATTAAAATGTATCAAAATGCAGACAGTTGGGATCGCCAGCAAATTGAGTTGACCATTTACTGTGTAACTGCTCGAAAGATTAAAAGAAGGTATAAATAAAACAGTAGATATAAAAGTAGGCGACAAACTTGAAGAAGATCTAAACGGATTGCAATTGTGGTTTTAAAGTTTAACTCGTTGTTTGTAACGTTTGATATAATGCTTAGGAGACATTTTTGTCCGACAAGAAGCTGTGATTTTGTCTGATTTATAATGAACAAGAAAGCCGTAACACTGTCCTTTTTAGCGGACACTAGAGACTCGTGATTGCTTTCACCAGGACTTTTTAGAAGCTTGTTTTTTAAAATGGCACTATACTTTAGAATGTAACATTTTATTAAAATGTGAAACAACGATTGTGAGGCTAGCTGCTAAGCTAAGCAGTTGTTATCATTTTGTTGTCTTAGTTTCTACTGATGAAGCCAAGGATTCGAGGAACCTTTTAAAAATAACTTGCATTTTTTTTTTTTTTTAATTGACGACTTTTAATGAATTTTTTGCCATGCCTGAAAGGACGCAGTCGTTTCGCGTGAATACTCTGAACTAAAATACAAATTTTCTCTTTTGAATGGAGATAGAGCGAAATTTAAAGCTTGTGTCAACACGGCGGCGGCGATTTAGCCTATCGCGTTATATGAGGTGACTGCGTTATATCGCGTCACTACCCAGGGTCCGTAGGATCGTGGGAGTGCATTACGTCACGAACTCTACCTCACTAGACGCCAAACGCTCGAGCCTTTTCAAGAATATAAAAATGGGGACAACAACTAGTATTTGCCCTGTAATTTGCTTCGTTTTCTTTTGCATTTTTAACGGCATCTCTTCCAAAGAAGAGAAACGAGCGAACAAAGACACCGTGATTATGGTCTCCCTGGATGGCATGGGATGGCAGCCCGCGGGGGGGTACCCCCTTACATTACCTATACGGGTATGTGTCGCCCAACGGGGTCGTGATTTTGAAGCTCCTGATTTAGAACGGGGTATCCATTTCAGAGGCGTTTTCTAGAACGGGGTGTAAAAAATGTGGATCGCGGCTTTATCTTCTGCTTAAAATTGTTGCTGATTATGAAGACAGTTTGCCGGTACTCCAAACTTAGATGCAGTGGGTAGGAACGGAGTTCGAGCTAAGCATACTTTCAATGTTGTCCCAACAAAAACTTGGCCCACTCACCACTCCTACCTAACAGGTCTTTACCCAGAAAGCCACGGTATTGTCTCCAACAAGTTCTGGGATCCACTTTACCAAGAGATGTACATTTACGATTACGACTGTTCGTCGAAGGATCCCAAGTTCTATAAGGCTGCCGAACCGATCTGGCTGACGCTACAGAAACAAGGAGGAAAGAGCGGGTTATATTTCTGGCCCGGAGAGGAAGGCTACACCGAAAAACCCACGTATAATGAGAAACCCTTTTGCCTTGTGAATTGCAGTGCAATTGATCCGAAGGATCTGCCTAAATACAGGAACAGAACACGCCCCACATGGCCGAGTTACATCCACTGTTTTCCTAATTACACTGAGCCATTCAAAAGCCGGTTGGATAAGGTAATTAACTGGTTAAAATCTGAGGAACCACCTCAGTTTGTAGGGGTGTATATTGATCACCCAGACTGGGAGGGTCATGATTACGGCTCGCATTCCAAACAGTATAAGGAAGCCATTGAGAATAGCCTGAGTATCAGGCGTTTCTGGGGAAAAGGGGAAAGATGGAAGCAAAAACTGGAGAGAGGTGAAGGAGAGAAACGCCTGACACAGATGCTTTTACTGGAGCCTTCCACCCCCACACAGCATGATTCGATACCATCCAATCAAAATCACTTCCGGTCATTGGGTTGTCAGCTTCACGTGTCAAAAAGCTCGCCTAAAATAAATCTCACTTTACGGTCTGGCCCTTTGTCTGGCCAAGCTCCGGAGCCTGTGTTGCTACGATTTCGCTTTTTTCTGAAACCTCCAATGAGGAGTTTTCGAATACTTGTACTGAAAACCTGCCATTTGTGAGGAATTATAGCATGTTTTAGGAATCGCGCTAGTGTAAGATCGCCAACGCTCTGTTTGTAAATAAACGTGTGCCCGGAAAATTGTAAATTGCTTTTGTTTACAGAGTTAAATCAGGCGCTTGTCTGGCAGCTAAAAAGCTGTTGTTATCCCTCGTATTCTCGGGTGGTTGAAAGGAGCTGCAAGAATAAATAGGAAGGTGCGATGATGAAACACCTATGCCTAGAAATTACCAAGCAGCAGCAAATTCCACCACTTCACAGAGAGCTCGTGAAAGCTGTTACAAGTTCAAAAAGAAGTGAGAGCCTATAGCAAAGGTCAATCCCGTTGGCGAAATATGATGGCGCCCGCTTGAGCTTAAGACATTTCAACAGTGAGAAAATTTTGGAAGAGGAAGCGAACGAATTCCAATCACGTACGCTATCGTAACCGCAACAAGCAAAGTCAAGCTTTTTAAAAGCATTTGTGCTGTCGGCTATCTCAATACATGGCTACCTCGCTCTATTTTCATTTACAGTAACAATACCCTTTTAACGGCGGGATGTTGTAAATCTGAACTTAGATATCTGAAACACTGATATCGTCTTCTTTGTCCCGGTCTTGTGAAACCATATGAGGCTTTTCCATACTCCGAGTACATCTTTCCTTTACACTACGAGGCCTTGAAAACACAATTCTTGCTCGGGTTTTATTTTTATTCCAGAAAAGAACTTGAGAGCGACTTCTAAAGCCTTTTTGAATTCCTCTCTGCGTCTCTGTCTGTTAAAGTATCACATACCGGTAAGAAATCAAAAACATCTATGAAAAATTTCAATGGCCTTCTCCTTGCCGATCGCTCTTGCGGTCGGTGACGTCAGGGGGTATTGTGTGTTATCCAATCACTGCCACATCCAGATTTTGGATGTGTCACACAATTTGCTGAATGGTTTTGTGTCAGGCCTTCCTTTCTCTTCTCCCCCTCCCCCCTCCCCCTTAGGAAGGCCTGATACTCAGGCTACATTGAGAAGGTTGATCGAAAGGTTGTTGGTTATCTAACAAAGCGCTTGCGTGATGTTAACCTCATTGATAACGTCAATTTAATCTTTGTCAGCGATCACAGCTTTAATAACATTTCTTCGGCCCGTCAAATATTTTTGGATGATTATCTCGACCGATCCGCGTACATGATGACAGAATCAACAGCTCTGGACATATCTGGCCAAAAGATGAGAAACTGGAGGAAATATTTGAAAATCTCACAAAGGTAAAGAACCCACACATGAAAATTTACAAGAAACAAGACATCCCCGAATCATTCCACTGGAAACACAATCGCAGAATACCCCCCATATTCACTGATCCCGAGTTGGGTTGGTCTGTCACACAATCCCGCGGGAACCCGAACATATCGTGGGTTTACGGGACACATGGTTGGCCACCGCGGGAAAGTCAAAGCTATCCGATCTTTTTCGCACAAGGTCCTGCTTTTAAGAAGGGTTTCGAAGTTCAGCCGTTTAATATAGTTGATTTATATCCTTTGATGTGCCATCTGCTTGGAATTCAACCACAACCAAATAACGGTTCATTTGAAAATGTTCGAGTTATGCTGCGAGAGAGTCCAGGCGAAACTCCGACTTCTGGACTAGAGAGAATATACGCAAGGGCGTGGTTTGCTCTGATGATCCCGTTTATTTGCACATTGATTCATCTGTTAAAAAACATCTATTAATCTAACAACGCGCTTTATCTACAAGAGGCAGGCGTGAAATCTAACACAGGTGACCCGAGCTCCGCAAATGATCTAACAGACGTTTTACGTTTGTATTACCCTAACCTGTACGTCCCTACCAAATAAACGCCCCGCAAAACAATGGCTCCAAATTACTACCTTAGGAAATAAAGAAAAAGAGAAAAATAACTGAAATTATTTATTTTCTTGCTTGGTTAACAAGAGTTTGCCCATTATACCTTGTTCCACGCCAAGTTCAAGTGAGGAGTTGAGAATTAAAAATATATATATGTATCTCTAAATTGGCCTAGAAACATCACTGGATGGACTGGATTGTCTACTGTTTGCAAACTGTAGTGATATAGTCGCTGAAAGAGTATCAGTTTCAGTTTGTTACAGTCAGTTTTAAACGGAAGATGATTTGAGATCTAGAATTTTCGAAACATTTGTTGTAAAATTTCTTCAGCTTGTCTGCCTCTCCTAGGATTTTTCAAAACATCTAAAAAACGGTATAATTGCCCATTTTTAACGGATTTTTACCCTAAAAAGGTCACCTAGAATTTTCGGGAGCCTTTTTTCTGGCTGAAATTTTCGAAAAGGTAGACCTTCAGCTAGGAAATCCGAACAGATGAAAAATTTTAAGGGGATAAAAATATGCCTATATCTACCGTTTAAAAACTAAAATACGCTACTGGTTTTGAACTACATTCTCGTTGGGTACCCCTGAAAATTAATAAAAAAGTCCCGGGCGTTTATTAGATCATTAAATGATACCTTGCACAAGTCCAGATATTGAGTCATCAGGTGGTTTGCCCAGGCTACCTGTGGTTTTAACGGCAGTTTGTAAAGGTGTAAAAGCAACCAGGTAAATCCACCAGCAGGTAAATAAAATAATAAATTATACTACCAAAATGAAAAATTTTGAAAAAGGAAGTAAGAGTAGCCCGCAGTGCTTGTAACTGTGAATAATTATAATTCTTTAGCTGGTGCAAATTCCCATGGTATCATTTTTAAAATCTTTTTTTCTTGTGTCACGGACTGAAGAGTCACACCACTCTCATAGAACTACTAAGCTTTATAATACATTATTTTGATGATAAATGGTAATTTAAGTATTCATAATTCTATACATCATAACGGTAAAAAATATTAGATTTGGGCAGCATTTTCATGTTCTAGAAGTACCCTTTTTTAACATATGCAACCCAGGATAGAATGTGTCTGCTTTCTTTACAAACATTCTTTCACATATTTATGTTGTTTTTAAATGTTTGTAAAGAAAGCAGGCACATTCTATACTGGACTGCATAATTTCTTCAAAACAAGATAATACTTTTCAGTTTTGTGTCCAAAGTGGACTTAACCAAGTCATAAATTAACAGAAAAGAGAAGTGATCTGAGGTGACCGTCCAAACTGACTACGTCACGAGAATCAAGTTGTTTTAAATCATAAAATTATTTTTGGAAGCTGTACAAAGTTAATGTTACAAATTTCACTCGCTAAGTTTGGTTAAAAATTAATTCATATTTCAAGGCTGTGCTCTAACAGTCCCAGGAGGCCACTGGTGCGTTAAGTTTGCTCCTTGGCAATTACAAAATCTTCGTTTTTGCATTAAAATTAAATGCTGGGCACCCTGGAATTCTCAGGTTCAGAGCATTGGGCTTCCTAGAATTTTACTTAGAGCACAGCCTTGTATTGACTACCACTTTAAAATTGGGTTAGCTTGGTATTTCTTGTAATCCTCTTTCTTGAAAAGAGAGATTTCTGTTTCATGTTCTGTTGAGAAGTTTAAGATAAAATTATGTACAATGGTATACAATAATTTATTAATTATTTTTGTTGTTGTTGTTGAATTATCGAGTCAGGGGGTAGAGTGGAAGGCACATTATTGGAGAACAGAACAGGGTTTCATCACCATTATAGTGCAGCTGTCCTGGCTGATGTCGGATTGACACTGATCATAAATGCCTATTATTCAGGTGAAGAGCTAGTACATTTTAAATATGTACAATAGGCATGAAAAAGAGAAAAGCTAGATTTTCACAACGATTGTGCATTTATGGTTTAGCATTGGAGACCAAGAAAGACAGCTAAAATATCTCTTTTCATATGATCAGAGAGTAAGGAAATTGAAATTTGAATTATTTTCATAGGGAAAGATATTAAGTGAAATGAAACTTAATTTCACTCACCAATTCCATTGTCATGAAGACTGGAGTCTAGTTTTAAAATGAGCGCCTCATCATTTTCTGTGTTTATAACTGGATCACTTGTCTAGAAAGTCAATTTATTGTAGAAAAGAAAACAAAATTTACTTACTAGGTATAAATTTACATTTTCAAAAAAACACCAACAACAACCTAAGCTTTTCCTAGAACAAAAAGTAATCACTCACAGGGGGTGTTTCTTGGTTTTGGGAACCAACTAAGTTGGCTTTTGTGTTGTGGTGTGGGAATTACTGTTCAGTATCTTTTAAATCTTCTGTGTTGCATCATTTGGTGATTGCACCTGTCGCCAACTCGATTACACCAAATAGAACATTACAAAAAAAAAAGTGCGCACTCTGATTGGTCAATTACTCATTTACTATTTGCCCATGGGTGAATGGTGATGAAAGCTAGCACGTGCTCAAAGCCGTGCGCACCACTTTCTACGTGACTACAGCATGTTTTTTTTACCTCATGGTTTGCATACAAAAAAGGTACGATTTCTAAATATGATTATACCGCCTGTAATCATTCTTCAGTCAAGGAACAGCAAAGACTCCTTTCCATATCGCTGACACATATGTATCAGCAATGTGATCAATATGTGTTATGTACAAACTGGTTACAATTGACAGTTTAAAATCAGTACAAATTATGTGAAACCATTATCCCCTAACAGTAGTCTTGTTTTCATTATAAATTTAATGTACCAGAGGTTCAAAGTGCTTTTGCTAGGAACAACATCAGTGTTACGGGTTATGGATAATTATTAGACAGTCCAATCATTCCGATCTCGTTGGGATTCTCCCGATTTTACTTAAAAGTCCCGAATCCTGACCAATATGCAAACGGGATAGGAAAAATCCCAATTCTGACAATCTTTTCTGCTGTTTTCAGATAAATTCTTAGGATACTAATATAAGAACACCTAACAGAGTATACTTAACTACAACTAATATCCAGGAAACATTAATAATACCAAAAAATATATATAATACAATCAAGTACTTGTAGTAAAAAATTACTACTGAAAATAAGCATATAAATGACAATTGATTTAGCAAACATTTTAGACACAAGTTTGTCCTCTCAGAACACTAGAAATAGCATTTCTAGTTTTCAAAATTTTCTGGGCAAGCAATCCCCTAGACCCCCTGGGGGCTTGTGCACTTGGCACCTGTGGGATTCATTTGGTCATTAAAAAATATCCCAAATTTACATAACCAAAAGGTTGGACAGTCTGGGATAAGTGACCAGTCATTTAGAAGAGGAGGTGAGCACATGAAGGTTGAAGTACATTTCCAATTTGTTTAAAACCCAATAAAGCAAACATGAAAGGTGTTTGTTGTGAATGACAATAAAGAATAAATTGAACTTAAGTTGGCATTAGCTGCTTGTTGTGCTGCCCTAAAATAATCAATCTTACCTTTGCACCATGAGCTTTATGCTGAATTTTCATTGTATCTGAAAAACAAATACAAGGTAAAAGTAATCCTTACTAAATGAATTTGGCTTTCTAGACATTTATCAGCAACTGGAGAAAATAATTAAAACCAGTCTATAAATAAAAAATGGTAGCAACCAGCAGTAGAGTATCTAATCTAGAGGGTATCTTAGGGACTGCCAACTGTTTTGGAATGCCAAGATAAGCCACATTTTCAACACAGCTGTCTTTTTTTTGTTAAAATCAGCCTTATTGCTGGTGGTTATCCTGGCCCGTCTAATACAGCCTGTGTCTCCACAGTGGTGCATGGAGGTATTATACCCCCACCAACAGTAGAACCCCCGATAACTCAAGCTTGGATAACTCAAACTTCCCGCTAACATGGACAAAGTTACATTTCTCTTGGGTTTGACCCTTCTTTTCAGTCATTTTTCCTGGATAACACGAATTCCCGCTAACTGGAACTAAATTTTGTTTCCCTGGATAACTCGAATTATGACTTGCATTTCATTACAAATGCCATCCCATTAGCTCTTCTTGTCATGTCACTAAGACTCACACTACAACAATTTTTTTAAATAAGTGCAATGAACAGATCACATATTCATTTCCTGTTGTAAAAATGCATAGTTGTGTTACAGTTTCTGATGAGATAAGTTTTAATTGCACTCTGATGTTTACTGACATGCTGAAATATCAGTAAAATCTCAATTATTTACACGACAAATTGAAAATTCAATCGACCTCAATGACTGGAACTTCCTCTAACTTGAACCGTTTTTCTTTCTCCTTCAGAGTTTGAGTTACAGGGGTTCTACCGTACATCTGAATTCCCCCCCAAAATAACAAAATGCATTCCTTAATTCTGTGACGTAGATAATTATAAC